ATTGTCTATTACAAAAACCCCACACGCTTCTTCACAGCTCCCGAACCAAATTAAATATTCCAAAACCAAAGTATTCAATGTAGAATTTGTGATACTTCGAAATCACCTACACTTTACATTCTTTAAAACGGGTCGAAACTGAAACACAAAAAAGTGCGTAATCTCCCTGTCTAGCATGTCTTTCTCGAGCATTTCCTCATAGATCATTTTTACGTGACGTCGCAGAATTAATTTCCGCCATGTTGGTGCCCATCTTAGTGTCATGTTTCATTCATTATTACATGGAAACACGGTCCAAATTTATAGTTCCGTCCAGTTTACAATCGAAAAAATTTAAATGTATGGCGTCTGCCGAAAAAATTGCTATTACTTCTTCTGATCCAGACCATGTCGTCCAAATTCCATTGTCTGATCACGTTTAAAAAAACTGGATGTAAAAGTTAGAGAACGTTATCTAAAGAAGATCTCGACTATCGGAATCGATCCTGTTTTGATAGATTGGAAACGCTTCGAGCCTGATTGGTTACCGCCGGTGGAATCGACTGACTTGCACTGCTATTTGGTTCTCGAGACTAGCTATTATGCGCAAAAACAACTTAAAGACTTCCGCAGTCTCGAGGCTTACAATCAAATGGTGTCGCGCTTTGTTTGCAACGTTCAAGGACATATCATCGGAAACAAGTTCGTGGTGTTGGCAAAAGTGCGACACTAGCAGCAGAACGATACCTTGATTCAATACCGCGATGGGTGGAACAATAAACTGCGCTCATTGTTTGGGATGTAAGGTAGGCCTTGCTGAATCATGTTCGCACATAGCTAGGGTGCTATTTTACCTTGAGGCTTGGACAAAGGTCAATGGAAGGCTTTCTTGTATGCAAATTAAGTGCCTTGGATACTTCCCAGTTTCGCAAACAAGGTGGAATACTCTCGTGTCCGCGATATTAACTTTAAATCCGCTAAGAAAATGAAAGACGACCTTGATGAAAAGAAAGAGAATCTCATTGAGGGACTTCAGGTTTCTTAGAGCTCGGAAGTCTTCTGTTTCACCAAAAGCCCCATTAAGAAACCGGAAGTGCCAGCGCCGACGGAGGCGGAAATGGAAAACTTTTATTTTGACCTCAGCAAATGCAAAAGAAAGCCTCTATTGCTGAGCTTGGTGCGCACTGCTGATTCGATATCGAAGGAACTGTCGATAACCTTTTCTCCAGGTTCATCAAGTTTCTGTTTTTTGGACTTTAATTTATCCCGAAGGTGTCTTTCACGTTCTCCTGGAACACGTTTCAGCTCACGACCTCTGGCTCTCTCGTCTCGCAAGGTTGCAACTTTCTGATGACCTAGATTTTGGGTCGGAACTCAATCTGGATCGTAACGATCCCACAGTTTAGCCACTTTTCCAGAGATAAAATGTTTACCACAGA